CAGCCTGGACAAAAAAGCAAAGCACAAGAAAAGGCACAAAAACAAAAAAAAACCACAAAAAAAAAAAACCAAAAAAAAAAAAAAAAAAAAAAAAAAAGAATCAGCCTATTGTTATGAGTAATGCTTTATTAAGTGTTGTTTATCTCCTGTGCCAATTTATGATGTATATGTTATCATGGGTGTTTATATATTAAAATATAGCTAGCATTCATCATTATATGGAGTACATTAATGGTTTCAGATATCCATGGGGGTTCTTCAACTGGGGTCCCCAACAGTTGAGAGGCACTGTAATCTACTTACTCCAATAAAACAGAAAGGAAACTGAGGATGGAGAGGTTTGAAGCCACCAGTCCAAGGTCATACAGCCCACAAGTGGCAAATTCAAGGCAGCACCCCCAACCCATGCCTTCCTGTTCTGTCCAAGCATCAATGGATTACATCCAAAAAGCCTGTTCAGATCTCTCTCACCCAGGAGAGCTGCTTCTCTTTCCCTACTCAGGATATCTGGCAGTCCAGCTGTGGAAAGCCAGGACACAGGCCATTAGCGCTGAAGCCCACGCATGCTGCTGCATACATAGATGAGGGGCTTAGGACATGCTGGTTTGGTGGATGCAGGAGATGAATGACTGCTTCTACCTTACAGGTCTGCTCTCAGAGTTGAAGCTGGCTGTGCCCTGGGGCCACATTGCTGTCAAAGTCTGGGGCTCCCAGAAGAACCCTCCAGTTCTCTGCCTGCATGGCTGGCTGGACAATGCCAACTCCTTTGACAGGCTCATTCCTCTTCTTCCACAAGGTGGGCTATGGACTGAGGGGCAGTGGAGGGGTGGAAACTGCCATGCAGACCCCTTTCTCGTTCTCCTCTCTGCTGCAGGTTTTCATTATGTGGCCATGGACTTCGGAGGTCACGGGCTCTCGTCCCATCACCACCCAGGGTTCCCATATTACCACCAAAGTTTTGTGAGTGACGTCCGGCGGGTGGCAACAGGTGAGCAAGAGGGAAAGTGAGTGTCGTGAAGGAGTTGTGAGTGTGTGTTTGGGTGTGGGGGGATATGGGGGTGAATGTGGGGCCTCTGTGACATTTCCTCTCATCCCATGAGTAGGATACAGTGTCTAGGAGGCAGTGCTGGCTGGGAATGGATGTCTGGGGTCTGACTCCAGTTCTCCCAGCAACTGAGAGGAGCAAGCTTGCTTCCTCCCACAGTGGAGCTGAGCCCCCTCAGCTGATCTCCTAGGGGTGCAACAGGGATTAGGAGGAAGTCCCAATCTGGGACACGGGAAAACATTCAGAGTAAGGTTGGGCCATGCAAACTCTTTCTGGCTCTGTATTTTCAGCCTTTAAATGGATCCAGTTCTCCATCCTGGGCCACAGTTTCGGTGAGTCAGTTTGGGCCAGGCCCTGAGTTCTGTGGAGGACTATAGGAGAGGGAGGAAGATTGACACAGTGGTACCCAAGACTTTTCCCTGCCCCTCTGAGGAGCAATAAGAGGACCCACAAATGCTTATCTTAGAGACTGTGCCTCTGGTCTCAGATGAGGGAAGGGGTGGCCTTGTGAGTGTTTTCAGGTGAAGGGACCTTGGTGGCCCAGGGAGAGGCTCCAAGTTGAAGATGCAGAGTCCCAACCCCATGGTGGGAGACAAGCTGGGGATGGGACAGCCCCTATGAAAGTGCTTGGGTGAGGGTATTGGTGAGGGGTCGCATAGGATGTCCGCTCTGTTCTCTTGTCTGACAGGTGGCACCGTGGGCAGCATGGTGAGTCGCTGGCTGTTCTGTGGTCCCATGGGACCTTGGGAAGCAAGCAGAAGGTAGGCTAGGAAGAGCCCCTTCACACAGTGGATGCTGTGGCCAGAGACTGTTTCCACATTCACACTAAGTTCTGATAAAGGTCCCTTGTAGAGTTTCTACGTGTTCCCCCTAGGGTCACTGGGTCTGTGGCTGGGTCTGGGAGAAGCACCCTGAAGGGACAGCAGACTCAGGCTCTGTGAAGCCTGTGCCTTCGCCCACTAACTCCATCTCATTTTCACTCTCTAGTTCGCCTGCACCTTCCCCGAGATGGTGGACAAACTTATCTTACTGGATACAACACCTTTTGCCCTGGACTCTAATGTAGGAAAAGGCTTCTTTGGAGGCTGTGATTGGGACCCCATGCTTCCTGGGGAGGGGAGGGCGGCTTCATCTCTGTCTCCTGTGTTGGACATGAATGAGGCCGGAGAATGTGGCAGAGGGTAGATGAGTTAGCCAGGGATCTCCTCCAGAGAGGGCAGCATCCTGAAGCTTGTGACCCTGAGAATGTCAGGGCCCAGGGTATGGGAACTCTTTGGAAGCCCAGTGTGTGGCCTGGATTCCCCAGAATGCTGATGGATCCCGCATAGACTGGGAAACAGCAGAAGGTGGATGAGGGGGGCAGCCATGGGTGGAGGATCTCTGGGCCACAGCAGCTGCCTGCCCTAACACTTAACCAATTCCTTTGTGCTGTGCACACGGAGCACAACCAGATCCATCAACTGTGAGTGTGGCTGATGGAAAAACACCACCAGCAGCAGCACTCACAACAGCCAGTACTGTCCTGTGTCTGAGGCTTGGCTCTGTTTTTACCTGTGTGACCCTGAGGATGTGAGTTTGCTCCAGGGGACTCCACTGTGTCCGTTTCCACCTTTCCTTTTTTCCTTTACAAACTGGCAACCCCTTCCCTGAGGATAAGAACTCATTCTTTTTGAGACAGGAGCTCATTCTTTAACCAAGGCTGGCAGTGAACTCCTGGAAATTCCCCTGCCCTAACTTCTTTATAGCTGCTATTAGATTTTGTTTGCTTTTTATATTGATTATTTAGACAGGACTGCTCTGTGAGGCCTTGGCTGTCCTGGAAGTAGCTATAGACCAGGCTGACCTAGAACTCACAGAGATCTGCCTGCCTCTGCCCCTGAAGTGCTGGACTTAAATGTGTGCACCAGCCTTCCTTGCTGGAGTTAGTTTTTATCCCCATGTCTCCAGGCCCTGCACACTGTAAACACTCAGTAACTTTCCACTGCACAAACCATGGGTTAGTGTGGACCCAATACCCAGATTATAGTAATCTCTGACCTTTGGTCTCTGTAATGCCCCACTGATGAAACAAATGTAGAGCCTTGAGGCTTCTTCCTGGGTGGTGTTGGGTGACACTGAGTCCCCAAAGCCTGAAGCTGCTGGTCTTCTGCCATTGGGGACATGATGTATGGCCGAAGGAACCTGCCTGTACCCTGTGCCCCCTACCTATCATTAGCGATGACAGCATTCACTGACGTCACTGTATTTGCTGCCCTAACGAATCCTAGTGTCGCCCCTCTACAAAGCACATCCCTCTAGCTGTCCCAGGCAGCCTGTGCTGAATAGGAAGGACAGCGAGCATGGACTGACCCCTCAGAGGGGCATGGAGGGCAGCAGGCAGGACCAGGGGAAGGACGGGACCCCTCCTCTGGGGCATCACTATTCACCAGCTCTGGCTGAATCCCTAGGAAACAGAGAACATCCTGACCTACAAACGGAGGAACATAGAACACATGCTGAAGGTGGAAGCTTCCCAGAAGTCCCCAAGGGTGTCCAGCCCTGAGGAGCTTTTGCAAGGGTAGGTGCTGGCAGCCAGGGCAGGGCAGAGGTGGGCTGGGACCGTTGTGCCCTGGTGGGCAACATTCCAAGTCGGGGAGGAGGTACAGCCTCTTCTTCCTCCTCCTCACAGTATCCTCCCCTCCACTCTTCCACCCCCAGTCATCCTCCGCTGGGGTGTCACTCAGCACCAGTCCTCCTGGACACTTCTCAAGAAGCCCCTTGTTGTCACCACCCCTCTTTCCTCATGCTTCCTGCGGGGTGGGGGCTCTTTCTTTCTCCTCATATTCATGCTCTATGGCACACCTCTTCTCTCTGAAGTTCTCTCCCACTCTCCTGCTAGAGCTGCCTGGCAGCCTCCACCCCAGAACAACCACCCTGCCTCCTGGCCATGTTGGCCTCTAAATTCTGCATTCGTGGTCCAACTGGGAATGCCGTGGTCATATCCGTACTCACTGCTTCTGGAGTGTGCACGGTCAGACAGGGCTTTCCTGTTTTGTGTTTGTTGTCTAGAGGAAGGGACACACACAGAATAACAGGCAGATGCGCTGATGCTGTAAATTCCCACTGAATCTGAAGGACATGCGCACTGTTCATGGGTAGCCTCCCTTTCCTCCATCTCTTCCTCCTTTTGTCCTTCCTGAAGGTCGAACCTAAGCTCTCAAGCCCTTTACCCTGATCCACAACCCAGGTCTTTTGTGTTGTTTCTTTGTTTAATTTAGAGAGATTTCGCTATAATTCCAGCCTGGTTTGAACTCACTATGTAGCCATGATTGGCCTTGAATTCAATTCCTCCTGCTTCAGCTTCCTGAAGCGCTGGAATTCAAACTGGGCACAGGATCCACAGCTGCCTGTGTTCCTTTCTGTGTGGCCCCTGGGTCTGGTTCCTTTAATGTCTTCTGTGTCCCAGGTTCCTGGCTAGCAACAACCACTTAAGTAAAGAGTGTGGGGAACTCCTGCTGCAGAGAGGAACCACGAAGGTAGACACAGGTAAGGACCATCTGTCATTACTGAGGGAGAACATGGGAGGGTGCATGTGCCAAGCTGACACTAGGTGCCTGAACTGCTTCATTGACAGTCCTGAGCTAGCAGGGAAACTGAGGCTGCACATTGCCGAGGACCAGGTACAATGTCACATGGGCATTGTAGAAGGCCACACTCTGTGAAGGTTGGCTAGGGTTTTGGACTAAAGGTGGTGACTGTCATGGCTGTGCCCTGCCGGGCCCACGTGCAGGAGGTTTGCAGAAGATGTAGAGGTGCCGTGTCTGGCAGTCACTGATGACGTGAGCGTCTTCTGTGTTAATCTTCCATGTGTTTGTGCAGAACTCTTACCAAGGGTCTGAGAGACTGTGAGTGTGGCAGTGAGCCACACTGTCCCTGTCTCCATGGGTCCAGAATCTGTAGGTGGCACAACTCCAGGGGGCACCCTTTACAAATGCTCCTTGTGGAAATGACCCCTCCTGGGACTGGGCAAGGGGGAGGCTGGGCAGAAAATGTAAAGATTAGAAGAAAAAGATGTTTGTCTGTTGCTGCAGCAGAATTTTCTTACAACTTCGAAAAGTAAGGGTTTGACTCCCAGTCTCAGGGGACTGTCCATCGTGACGGGGAGGGTGTGGCGGCAGGAGCAGGAGGCAGCTGGTCACATTGTGTGCACAGTGAGGAAGCAGAGAGAGGTGAATGCTGGCCCTCAGCTCACTCTTCTGTTCAGTGCCAGATGCCAATCCATGGGGTGGTGCTGCCCAGAGTAGGTTGCCCACCTCCGTCTATTCTAGAAACTCCCTCAGAGACATGCCAGAGGGTTGTTTCCATGGTGATTCTAAAGCCTGTCACATTGACATTCCAGATTAACCATAATAACAAACGACCACTGAATAAATGTGAAGGTGACAGTCTGGGATTGGACAGAGGCCTCTGCCTTGGATTCATTTGGCTGAGGTCACCTGAGAGTTCAGCAGCCAGAAAGGCTCCTAGATTTTAGAGAGAGACCCGTGCTGTCTCTGTCCTCATTCTTCCTGTTCCTTGGTCCTGAGGAAATGCCTATGTGCTGTGACCAAGCTCTGCTCTAGGAGAATCCCATAACAGAAGTCCAGGGCTGGCTGATGTCAGGGTGGCTTTCTCCAGCCCAGATGGCAGACATGAGCCCTCTGTGGAAAGACTGGGACCTCCAAGGAAGCCAGGCAAGTCCCTTCCTGTAACAGGTGATCCTGAAACCACCATGCTTTGTGCTTTCTCCAGGTCTGGTGCTGAACAGGGACCGGAGGATCTCTCTGGTAAGTGCCACTGTCTTCCAGCTTCCCTCACAGATTGCTTGTGGCCTCTTCTTAAAAGCAGGTTTAAAATTACAGGCATAGCATAGTACAGACACATTTTAGCTGCCTGTAAGTGTATTGCCGGGTCTTACTAAATACACTGTCTTATGTAACTATCACCTTTGCCATCCCCAGTAAACACTGATCCATTAAAACACTAAGCCCTCACCTGTCTCACCAACAACCCCTAATTTACTTTTCTGTCCCTGTGAAGCTGCTTGTTAGGATCCTCACAACAGCAGAACCAATGTTTGCCCTTCTGGGCCTAGGTTCTCCTCAGCATCATGCTGTCCAGACCCTTTCATGGGAAACACACATCTGTGTTCACACTTGTGAGACTGAATCCTGTTCCATCCTGGGGACTTTAACCCCAGCATGTGGGGGCAGAGGCAGGCAAGTCTCTGATAATTGTTTCTTGAAACATATTTCTTACATATGTCTTATTTTTATCTATGTAATTTTTACTTTTGTGTGTTTGTGTGTGTGTGTTAGTGTAAAGGCAGAGAGACGCTTGTGTGGCAGTCAGGACAACTCATGGGAGTCTCTCCTTCCATGAGTGTCGTGGATCATAGCTTGGCAGCCAGTGTGTTCACCCACTGAGCCGTCTAACTGGCCCGCAGCACATTTTCTATGTCCATTCCTCTGCTGACAGACACTGGGGTTGAGGTTTTGGCAATTGAGAGCAATGCTACTGTAACATGGGGTACACGTGTCTGAGTCCTTGCTTCCGGTTCTTGGCTTTGCCAGAAGAGACTGCTGGAGCCCGCGGTGACTTAGGATTGATCTTTGGAGAAGGCGCTAAACTGCTGTCTGCAGAGGCTGCTCTATTCTATGTTCCCACCAGCGATGCACAAGGGTTCTGACTTCATCCCCAATCTCTCTCACACATATGCAGGGAGGAGGGGTGCTGGGCACTGAACCCCAGGACGTGTACAGGCTGGGCAAGTGTTATACAGTGAGCTACATCCATTTATGTCTTTATACATGTGTGCACACTCACAGACTCTCACCCGTGTCTTTTCATACATGTGCATGGATGGACACAGACCCATGTCTCAGGACGTTGCATCATTCCCATGCTCTCTTGTTGAAGTCTCCCACAGACATGTGTAAAGTTAAAGAAGCCAGTTGTGGGGCTAGAGAACAGAGGTGATCTCCCCTGGAGGAGGTCCCAGGGGAGTCTGGGGCACAGCAGGGCACATCGACCTGGGTCCAGGTCTCACATCCTGTGTCATGCAGAATGCCTCAGAGCTGGTGGTTCATTTGACTTTGCTCTTGGGTTAACCTTACTACGTAAAGAGAGAAAACAAGGTGGGTCAGGAAATGGAAGTGCCTTCAGCGTGGTCAGCCCACAGTGGAGACATCAGCTGCCATAAAACTCAGAAGAGCTTCACGGCTGCGGGCATGAGTGGAGGTAATGTCCCCTAATCCTTGCCCTGGGGCCAACTTAAAATTAAGTTTGAGACCTGATTGTACCCTTGAGACAGACAACCCCAATTCCTGAGGAGAAGGAGGGAGATGAGAGGCCAAGGCCCAAGCCTGACCTATCTGCTTCAGACTCCTCCTCCTGTTGGCTGTTGCCTGTGGCCAGGGTTCAGAGCTGCCCTCTACACCTCTCCCCTGCAGACTTGAGAAGGTGAAGCCACAGGGTCTCCCTGGCAGGCAGCCCTCCGACCCATCACAGCTCCTGCGGACCGGACTGAGAGAGTGTGGGGCCTCCTGGGTAATGTGGGAATCTTTGTATTGAGGATGGACCCATGGTGACTTTAGTCTGAGGAGCAGGACAAGCAGTGACCATGTTGTGTGTGTCTGTGTGAGAGTGTATGTATGCTGTGCACGTGGAGGTCAGAGGTCAGCCTTCAGTGTTGTTCCCAGCCACAACACTCACATTTATTTGTTTAGGTTTTTGAGGCAGGGTTTCTCTGTTAGCTTTGGAGCCTATCTTGGAACTCGCTCTGTAGACCATACTGTCATTAAACTCAGAGAACCAACCGCCTGCCACTGCCTCCCAAGTGCTGGGATTAAAGGGGTGCACCACCACCGCCCAGCCTCATATTTATTTATTATCTACTTATTTTAGAGCTGATCTCACACTTTCCAAATAGGCTGAGCTGGGCTGTCAGCACATTCCAAGGATCGACATGTCCCTGCCTCTTGAGGGCTGAGGTTGTAGGAATGTCACACATTGTCCAGTTGTTTTAAACAACAGATCAGAATCAGGCCTTGTCACAAGCCCTCTACTGACTAACCCATTTCCAGCCCAACAGTGAATTTTTTCATGGTGTGTCTGAGCAGTGGGTATCAGATACCCACCAGGCCTAGTGTATAACAGGCAAGCTCTCTGCCACTGACCTGCAGCCTCAGCCCAGCTGTACTGACATCTCTAACTCTATTAACTATATCATTTCTCCACGAAGTCCCCTGATCCTAGCCGGTATATCATCCCTGTCCTTCATGTGTCCTAGTGTCTGTCAGTAGCTGCACGGGGCTGGAGGTCTCCTAGCGCACTGCAGCACAGGCAGATTTAACGCAAGGACAGAGCAGTTGTGCTGGGGGAGACTCAGGTGCGGTGGACTCAGCTCTGTTGTGGACCAAACACACTTCTGTCAAGTGGAAGCAGTCTCATGAAGGGAATGAGCTCTGTGTGACAGAGCCCAGCGCCCACAGCTGGACTGTGCATGAGGAAGGGGCTGCAGGGGGCTCTAGTCCTCAACAGTCCAGAAGTCACCTCCAGTCAACAGCCACACCCGACCTAAAAGGGTTCTGTGAGTGGAGTCAACATTCACAGAGGGGAGAATGGATATAGGGGGTGGGAGACAGAACTTTGGCAGATGGAAGCTAAGAAGCCTTGATGAGTAAGGGACTTGGTGGACACTGGCCTCCTGGGGAGGGTGGCCCTGCTGACCTCACTGGAACCTCATTTCAGCTGTCCTGAAATAAGGACTCTGACTGCAGGTGGGCATGGGACATCATGGTAAGCATTCACCCGGTTTTGTTTCTGCAGCCAGAGAACGTCATTGACTTTGTCAGCAAGGAGATGTTTGCCTATTATACCAGAAGCCTGCAGGCCAATGTGTTGCTCATCAAGTGAGTCTAGACAGAGTGCCCTTGACAGACCCAGGGACCAGGAACCCGAGGGAGCATGGCACAAGGTGTCCAGTTCTCCAGGGTGACACCACACGACTGTCCACCCAGCCTTTTTCAGGAAGCATATTTGTCAGCAGGTGCTGGGAGGGGGAAGGCAAAGGAAGCAGCAGCCTGGGAGCAGAGGGCGGGGGTGAGGACTGAGGCACAGATCGGCAGGTCTCTGGGGAAGCCTGACATGGGCTGTGCTTATGATTCCACTTCCCACGCTGAGAAAGCAGAATGCACGTCACAGACACGGCACTGGAATCTGGGGAGCTTGAGTCCTGCTCTATTAGGAAAGGTCGTCCTGTTTGCGTGCACAGCTTCAGGAAGGAGGCACCTGGAGTGATGTGGAGGGGACGCACCCCTAGCCAGATTCCCAAATTAACCCTGATGACCAGTGGGGTGACAGACATCCAGGATTGTCTTCACATCCAGGAATTTTGAATTAGGAACTTTTTTCTGAGCTAGCAACCCATAGTTTGTCTAGCCTGATCCTTTCCTCAATGCTTGGTAGTGGCAGCCACAGCCATGAATTCAGGAGAAACTTGTTAACACTGTTATAAATTAAGGCAAATCAAAACTTAAAAACAAGGAACTGACTGGGCATGGGTGCTCACACCAGCAATTCAAGACTAGGGAGGACGTGGCTACGCTGTGACAAGTCTGAGGCCGGCCTAGGTTACAGTGTGCTTCAAACATGGATGGGGAATGTTGCTTGATCTTTAAAATAAGGGAGGGCTTATTTTAAAGAAAAGCCTGGCCTTGAGACCTGGTTCAAATCTCAGCCCAGCTTTCAGTGACCCCCACTTTCTGACAGCTGCACCCCAGCAGACACTCAGCTTGTGCTAGCCGGCTACCAGCTCTAAGAGGAAGCTGGTACTAAATGACTGAACCCCAGGATCAATCTAGGCTCAAAAGAACATAGCTGAAGGAAAATCAGATTCAGTCTAGGCTTGGGCTCCTCAGGTCCTGAAACACAGACAGGGCAGAGGGCTCCATTAAGACTCAGAGATGAGACACCCCCACTTCTTGCTGCCCAGAGCAACACAGGGGTACTTTGATGTGAGACGAGAGAATGATGCGAACAAGGAGCCGCTCCTCCTCATCCTGGACATGCTAAGAGCCATCTTAAAGGAGGTAAGGCATGTGGCCTGGGAGGGTCACAGGTGTTTATGTCTGCTATGAAACCCACATTAATAAAATTGATGGCCTTATATTCCCTAAGTGGATGCTTCACCCCTCAAGGGCAGGTCCCAGAAACCGAGGACACCTAGAGTTCAGGACCCTAACCCCTGGCCATGCTTACTTGTGGGGCGCACCTCTTAGAAGCAGCCCTGCGCTTCCCTCCACTGCTCCTGGAACCAGCACATTGGCAAGTGTGATGGCTACAGGGCAGGAGGAGGCACATGGTGGATCCAGGAGCCTGTGTAGGTCCTGGCCCTCTCTGGTCATCATGCATTTAGAATCCCCGAGGCCTGGAACCTCTGCACAGCCAGGGGCTACCCCAAAGGGCAGCTGCTATTCAGGCTTCTGTGCAGTGGAGCTGTGCTGACACCTGCCCTGCACAGAGTGCTTCATCTCCATCAGAACTGGCAGAATTGACTGTGAACACCCAGATTAGCATTGTAGCCTCACAGCTCAGATGCCTACATTACTGGAACAGCCCCAAGTCCCCAGGCTGCTGGGAATAGGGGTGGCCTCTGACCCTCTTGGAGACACGCAGCTGTGGGAGAATCTCTTGTGTGGGCACCATCTCACCTCCTCCCCTTTCTCCAGCGGTTCCAGTATGTGGAAGTCCCAGGCAATCACTATGTCCACATGAATGAGCCCCATCTTGTGGCTGGATTCATCAGCTCTTTCCTACAGAGCCAACCCAGGACCTCTTCAAGGCTGTAGCTCTGGCCTTGGAGCTGTTCACACTGTCTACCTTGCACTCTCTGCCCACAAAATAGGTGGGGTGGGTCTCACTGTGCTCGAGACCAAGAGAGGCAGCAGAGAATCCTGTGGCAGAGCTAGAAGCAAGGGGAAATAGAAGAAGATTCTAACCTTTAATACGCGGCTTCAGGAAGGGCACAGTGGTCTGGGGCTTGCGGTTGGTGAGCTCTACTAAGCTGGTGCCGCTGAGGGAGCAGGGCTGTGGTTGGGTCTCTGGAGCTTGTGCTTATCACCGGTCTCTGTGGAAATAAAATCTTCCTCCCTCTTTCCTGCCTTCTGAATGGCTCTGTTGCCAGCAGTGATTCACGGAGGGTAACAGGTTCAGAGCAGAGAGCAGTCACATTTCCCCAGAGTGTCTCCCAGGCCCGAAGAGGCAGGGGCAGCTCCTCAAGACCAAATCCTCCTCTCGTCCTGATTTCCAGCCTGTGTGGGTGAGGAGCTGGAGCTGTGGGACGCAGCAGCTTCTTGGCCTGGCATCTGCTCCCCTAAGCACGGTCCCTGAGGCAGCAGGCCTGCTGGGCTTTGTGTTCTCCACACCAGCTCTCCACATCCAGAACAGCTCAGTAGGGTCGGAATTTGCGTTGGGCACGCATCAGTTCAATCCTCTGCTTGTCCTCCTCGAACTTCTTGCGCAGCTGTGCTAGGTCTGGGGGTGTGAAGGGAACAGGACGGGTCACAGAGTACCTTGCAGGACCTGCCAGCCACCCCACTAAAGGGACCTCGTCACCCTCATGTCCCAGGGCGGCTCTGCACACTCTCCCTCTCCCACCTCATACCCCTTCCATCCCAACTACACAGTCACGGTCAGGCTCCTGCAAGGAAACAGAACTGGACACTGACTACAGCCACTCTGGGGGCTGAGGTGGGAGATGATGGGGTACAAAGTTCTGAGAAGACAATGTATCAGGGAGAAGAGAGGGCCAGAGAAAGCAGGACTCCTCTGCTCCCCAAAAAGAAGCAGTCCCAGGGGTCCCTTCTTCTAGATAAGAAAGTTCAGTGGGTAAACAGTCACCAAGTAACCCACGTCGGTGGTGGCACCTGCTCCTCTCAGGAGGGAGGGTCGACAGGGGCTGCTCAGGTGAAGTGCAGCCTAGGGCCTAGGACCAGGGCGCGAGCATGTAAGGTGTGGGAAAGACAGCGTGCAGGTGTCAGTGGGGTCTGAAGGCAGCAGTTGAGCCCACCCCGTGCTCAGGAGAGGACCAGGCTTCCTAGGACCCAGAATGACCTGAGAGCAGGAAGAGCAGGTACTCCCATAAGGAACACTTGGGTAGGCCCCCAAGAACCTCATGAGCCCCACCCCTCAGTCCCTCAGCACTCTGTAGTCAGACTGGCTGGGGCTCCTGGGCAAATATGCTCTATCTCTGAGAAGCAGTAGGGGCACTATACACAGGGACTCTGACCCTGAGCCTCTGTCATATGTGCCTCAAGCCACCCTGTTTCTTGCCCAAGGCCTGCAGGGTGCCCTCAGGTGTCACTTACGCTCCATCTTGGTCTCTCGGTGCTGCCAGGCATAGAAGTTGAGCAGCTCCTTGCGGGCACGCTTCCTTTTCTCCTTCTCAAGAACGCGCAGGCTGGCCGCTTCTGTTCTAGGGAGCACAGGCTTATGGCCCCGGCGGGTCACCTTCACCCAGCCCTCTTCATCAGGGACTCCTTCCTCCTCCTTGGCCTTAGTTTCCTCCTGTGTGGAAGAGGATGTTGAAGGGCAGGGCTGTGCAGCAGCAGGATGCCTGACTGGCTAGGGGCCGCTGCTGCCTCCTGCAGGAAAGCACCTTGAGCGCAGTGTCTGCTGGTCTGAATAAATGTTGATCAGACATCAACGACACTGCTCTCACCTACTGACCATTTAGAGTTCTTGTCACCCAGTCAGATGGCCCAGGTTTCCACAAGCAAAACGGGAGCCTGCACATCCTCTGGTAACCAAGGACAGGCACCACGTGACAACACACAATACTTGTGGAACCACCTTCCCATGGCTCCAGCATTGATACCTGGGGTCCTGCCGCAGCCCTACCTCAGCTATCTTCTTGTCGTAGGCCTCCATGAAAGTGTCCACTTCCACCCTCAGGGCCTCAGGGTCGAGCACTGAATCTTCGTAGTCACTGATCCACTTTTGGATCCCGCTCTTCACTGGGTGGCTCTCTGTAGAAACCAGCAATGGGCCCTTCAGATTCAAGGCAGCTGACACTCCACTTGGCTTCTGGAACACCACATAAGCTACCTGAATTTTCTGGAACTGGCTTGGGGTGAAAAAACTTCGATGTTGGCTCCTTAGGGCTCTCAGCAAGGTCAGGCTTCTCCTGCAACTCCACTGTCTTGATGGTGCCACAGGAGGCCAGGAGTCGAGACAGGCACTCCTGACGTGGTCAGAGGGAAGCAGAGCATGAACACCCGTGGCTCCTCAGAGTTTCTGGGCACCCACAATAGCCTGGAAGGACTTGGGGCCCAGGTCGACACTACCCAGGGGGCCCGAGTGTCCAACCCTGACCAGCTCCCAAGACAACATGGTGGTAGATCTTTCTAGCCCGTGATGGCAGATGAGGACTGCCAGTGTCCCTGACTTCAGATGACAACTGTTTAAGCTTGGCATGCTGGTCAGCTTTGGCAGGAAGATATGAGGGGACTTCTTAGTCTGTGATAATTACACACAGGGGTGTACAGCCACTGTACAGCCCAGACCTTCTCTCCACCCCGTTGTCCAGATTGGCCTTGAACTCACTCCTTAGCCAAAATGGGCCTTGAAGTTCTGATCCTCTGGTCTCCAAATCTGATTTATGTAGTGCTGAGGACTGAACCCAGGGTTTTAGGAATGCTGGGCCAGCAGCCAATCACCGATCTACCTCCCTAGCTCTGGTGTTTCTCTTCTCAAAAGAGGAGTCTGTCCCGCCAGGCCTGACACTTACCTGAAATCCCTGCACTGGGGTGGGTGGATCAACAATTTTAAAAATGTTTTAACCCAGGCAGCAGCGGCACACGCCTTTAATCCCAGGACTAGGGAGGCAGAGGCAGGCTGATCTTTGTGAGTTCGAGGCCAGCCTGGGGTACAAGGGCTAGGACAGGCTCCAAAACCACAGAGAAACCCTGTCTCGAAAAACCAAAAACAAAAAAAAGTTTTAAATTTCATTTGTGTGTTCACACACAGGTATAAGTGTATTTCACATTACAAGTGTGGAGGTCAGAGGACAACTTTCACTGGATGGTGGTGCCACAAGCCTTTAATCCTTGCACTCAGGGGACAAACGCAGGAGGATATATGAGTGTGAGCCCAGCCTGGACTACAGAGCAACTTCCAAGATAGATCTAAAGCTATACAGAGAAAACCTGTCTCAAAAAAAAAAAAAACCAAACACCATCACCACCAAAAATCTTGGAGGAGTCAATTTTGTCCTTCTACCGTGTGGGTCCCAGAGTTCTGACTCAGGCCATGGGACATGGTGGCAAGTGCCTTTACTCACTGGACTACCACCAGTTCTCAACTTCCTTTTTAAGCTGAGTGTGCTGGCACACTGGCCTGTGATCCCAGGGCTCGGGAGCAGGAGTTCAAGGTCAGCCTCAACCACGTGAAGAGTACCCTGCTCAGGCTACAAGAAACCCTATCTGTCACATAACAAAATAAAAAAGTAAATAACTGTAATAGTTTCTGCAAATAATCAGAAAGTATGTTTGGACAGAACTGCAGCTGATTTTTGTTAGTTTATTTATTTATTTTTCGAGATAGGGTTTCTCTGTGTAATAGTCCTAGCTGTTCTGGAAGTAACTCTTCTAGACCAGGCTAGCCTCAAACTCAGAAACTGCCTGCTTCTGCCTCCAGGGTGCTGGTGGATTAAAGGAGTGCACCTCCCTCCCATTCCCCCTCTACCCCCCCCCCCCAGCCCAGACTTTCTTTAAAACAAAAAAAGAATGAATCCAGGCGGGGTGGCACAAGGCTTTAATCCCAGCACTGGGGAGGCAGATTCAGGACAAGCTCCAAAGCTAGAGAAACCCTGTCTTGAGAAACCAAAAAAAGAAAAAAAAAAAAGAAAAATCGATAAAGGAAGAAAGGAAGAAGGGAGGGAGGGAAAAAAAATCAGTAAACAAAATAATCGCTGGAAGGACAATTAATTTCGACCAGGTGTGACAGGGAGTAGTGGGTGGTGGACAGCAAGTCTGAGACCAGCCTGGACTATCTAGTGAGTTCCAGAACAGCCTCCGGAAGAATGAGGCTCTGTTTGGACAGGATTTATTTTATTTATTTATTTATTTTAAAAAGCCATGTTCTTATTCTGAGAGGCTCGGTTTTCAACATCCTCCAATGGGGGTTTGCAGGCATTTCCACCTGACCACCAGAATTTTGTAGGGCCCACGGCAAGCCCCCATTCAAAACCCACCGGTCCCCCGACAGACGCCTACCTTCGTGCAGTACGGGGGCACATTGAGGATAAAAAGGGTCCTATTGGCAGGCCACGTGGACTGGGTGTCTTGGCGAACTCTGTGCTGTCTCACGTACAGGTAATGAGAAGCCTGCTGCTTCTCTGAGAACTTGACTGGAACAGCTACGAGTGCAGGAGAGAGTTCGGGGTACCCCGAGTTGAGGCCAGCGCCACTGTCACGCAAGTTCCTTTCTCTGTGTCCCGTTCTAGCTCCACCGGCCCCGCCTGTTCGCCCATCCCACTCCCGGGAGCCAGGGACAATGTTTTCCTTGGGGTCGAGGAAACAGCAGCGGCCACCACACTCAGGGAGCGCTTGTTGAAGAAGCAGACACGAGCAGGTCAGCGATGACAAACTCCAGTGGCTGAAGCTGGGCGCGACCTGGAGGAAGCGCTCCCAAGGCCTCTCTGAGCAAAGCCCCTGGAGTCAGCGGCCAGAGCCGGCGCGGCGGGCTCCTGCGCCCCGACACCTGACGAGCTGCTGTGGCCTTCGCCACCCGCAGGCCACCTCCCTGCGAAGAGGTCAGTCCCCGGCCCTCAGCTGCTCACCTGAATAACCCGGTGGGCTGGGTATGCT